TTTTTTTTTTCTTAGAATAGGGGTTGACTGTGATAAGCAGATAATACTAATTACTTCTCCTCCCAATTGCTTGTTAATTGTGCTTGGTGTGGATTTATACAGCATGGTAATACCCCCATTACACACACACACACAGACACACACAGACACACACACACACCCCCCTCGCTTTGCCTATTGGCAAAATCAACAGGTCATTTCTTTAATCTCAGATTTCTGCTTAAGCCACTGATTAATTATGCCAAGTGGGGGTTCCTCCATTCTGAGAGCCAACGACGGTCCCAGTGTGTGTGTGTGTGTGTGTGTGTGTGATTTGTGCTTATATTAACATATGTTTCTGTGTTTTCTTCATCATATATTTAAATACCAGCGACAAACATGACCATGCTTACAAAAGCAACTTTTCCAAACCGATATTTTATCTAAATATCTGCTCAATTTTCATTCAATGGACTTAATGTGTCTTAAAACAATCAAAAAGGTGCTAAAGCTTGTATTAAAGTTTGTATTACAACCTCATGGGACTTTATTCAACTGGATTTTCGCACTTAAAGAACAGATTTTGACACTTTTCAAGCCAAAACGGTTTTAATTATACCCTTCTAAATAGTTTTTATGACTTATTATGACTCATTTTATCCTGGCCATGCGTCAGTAAACAGGGTTATAAAATAAAGAGCACCTCGTGGAGGCAGAGTCTCTGTGTAATTGGACAGAAGTCTGATTCGTTTAACCACCGGTCGGAGGACCGTGATCCAATCACGGTTATTCGGACCAGAATTCAGCTTTAGGCTCAGAGCTTTCCAGGTAGATCCAGACAGAAATGGCGTCCATTTCAAACTTAAATTCCACTTAAATTAGAAGTTGAAGGTGTCCCCCCCCCTTCTGTAAACGCACACCTCATCTGTTCATCCCCTCATCTTATTATTCATCCTGTTCCAACAGCTTGGGTACACTTAAGCAGATTTTGGGTCAGTCTGCTCTCAAAAGTGTTAAACAGATTGGGGAGGAGGATTTCCTGAAATGAAGGCAAGTGTTTGTGTGTGTTGGTGCACACGACTGCGCGATGGCTCTCCGCGGAGTGTCTAAAACTTTGAGGGGTCGGATTAACGGCATGATCTTCTCACTGAGCTCATTTCTCCTCCCACTTCTGGGCCAAAGAGCGGGGCCCACCGGCCCCAGCCTGCCACTGTAATCTAGATTTAGGATCTAACAAGTATCAAATGATTAGCCACCGCTTATAAAGTAATTCTACACGACTCCTGTGCTCTAAACTCCAGCCTTGTTGGGACTCCATGACAGGTCGGAGGGGGGTAAAAACTAAGCTTAACCTCCTCTGATCAGTTATTTTTTTGCAAGGGGGAAATCTATTTTTTGTTGTCCAAGTGAACAAAAAGCATCTGCTTTTTAATTTAGGATCGAGTCCACAAAAAGAAACATCTAAATCTGGGCGTCCAGTGTAGATTAAATTAATCGACCGGCCCAAAACAAGCCCCTGATCTCCAGGCTCATATCTCGGTTCTAGACAGATTTGCTTGCTGGATTTGAGGCCTTCACCTGACTGCAACCTTCATGCAAAGCTCAATTCACCTTGGAGGCTAATCTTTGTCTGGCTCGAGGGGGTTTTCGGGCAGAAGAATACATTGAATTCTGCGAGTCGGGAGGCTGTTTTTCCTCCGTGACTCAAACGGAGGGGCGGCGTGCGTGTCTGGGAGCAGCCGGCAGACGCTAACAGGATTCTCCGTCTGATTAATAAGAAAATTGTTCTTAGACTGATTAATGAGCTGCTGAGATCAGAAGGATTGGAGCTGATTGGGCTGAGGGGGTCATTAATTCCCTGTCCTCACTTGCTCCGGTCGATGTCCGGGGGCCTTTTCTGGGGGGTTCCCCCGGCCCGACGCGGGGTCACGGACCCACGTCTGCTTTAATTACACGGGTATTAGCGGGTGGGGGATCGCTCTGCAGATTTGCGTCTCTGGGTCAAACGTCTGACCGGTTCTGAACCCCCGAACGGTCCCCGGTGAGCCCAACATTCTGGGTTTTATCAGACCCAGATAGGGGTCGGGAGCCAGTTTTTTTCGGCCCATTTTCGGACTTTTTTCGCCAGTTCCCCTTATGGCCGCTAGCTTGCGGATCATCTGCTCCTAATGCGCGGCTCCATCCCCACAAGAGCCGACCTTTTAAATAACCTATCCTCACTTGTTTGCTCACTGCACTCATCCTGGCAGTCGGTGTATCCTCGGGCTAAGCCTAACAAGCTGATCAGCCAGGCACCTCTGTACACACTACCCCCCACTAAGAGGCTAATGGCCGGGGCTCCTAATCCTTCTCAAAACAACCACGGAGATGCTAATTGCATCTCGCTATAAATACTGCCGACTCCCTGTCCTCTTTCTCCATTTGTCTCCGCTCTTCCAGTCGGGCTTCCCTTGGACTATTTCGTCCGCGTATATATATATACCGGGGGGAAAAAAAAGAAGGGGCTTAGTTACATAAGATAGGTAGATGCGGCAGGTGTCAACAAACTGGCAGCGTCTCCAGAAACGGAGGAAAAAAAAAGAAAACCAACCAACGAACGAGAGGAACCGGAGGCGCCCGGAGGAGCTTTTTACGCGCTAGGAGTGAGCCGCGTAAAAGCACGTAAAAAAGCTCACACACACAGAGTCTGACTGAGAGGTCCAGAAACCAGAAACGGAGGGAAAAAAAAAGAAAACGAACAAAAACCAACGAACGAGCTGAACCGGAGGAGCTTTTTACGCGCTAGGGGTGAGCCGCGTAAAAAGCTCACACACAGAGTCTGACTGAGAGGTCCAGAAACCAGAAACGGAGGGAAAAAAAAAGAAAAACGAACCAAAGAAAACGAACCAAAGAAAACGAACCAAAGAAAACGAACCAAACCAAACGAACGAGCGGAACCGGAGGCGCCCGGAGGAGCTTTTTACACTTTAGGAGTGAGCCACGTAAAAGCGCGTAAAAAAGCTCAGTCTGACTGAGAGGATTCAGAGGATGTTCCCCTTGCCCATGTTCACGCCGGAGCAGGTGGCGCGGGTTTGCGAGAACCTGGAGGAGACCGGCGACATCGAGCGGCTGGGCCGGTTCCTGTGGTCGCTGCCGGCCGCCGTGCCGGGCTCCGCCGGGGAGGCTTTGGGCCGCCACGAGTCCGTGATGCGCGCGCGGGCGCTGGTGGCCTTCCACGCGGGCAACTTCGAGGCGCTCTACCAGATCCTGCAGAGCCACCGGTTCACGCGCGAGTCGCACGCCAAGCTGCAGGACCTGTGGCTGGACGCGCACTACCGCGAGGCCGAGAGGCTCCGGGGGCGGCCGCTGGGGCCCGTGGAGAAGTACCGCATCCGAAAGAAGTTCCCCCTCCCGCGCACCATTTGGGACGGAGAGCAGAAGACCCACTGCTTCAAGGTAAACGGGTTTTCGGGGGCTCTGAATTCCCAAAACCTCCAAAAACTCCAAAACCTGAGCTCTGACCTCGGGATGTCCCGAGTCACAGCCGTTTTTGGAATGCGTTGAAGGCCTGAAATGTAAAAATATGGAAGTAATCTAATAATGAGTTGTAGGGATGTCCCGATCCGATCCCGGCCTATCAGAGCATGTGTTAAAGTCTAAAGTTATGTATCTACTTACTTAGCTGTCAGACTCATGTTGAACAGGGATTTACTCTGATAACAACTTAATGGTTAGGACACAGCGCTTTGATTTTAGATTTTAGCTTTGGCTGACTGAAAGCGCCTTATAAATAAAGTTGAGTTGAGTTGAGAGTGGGTTACAGATGCTAACGCTAATGCTAAAATATTGGATCGGGACCAGCCTGCTTCAGACCCACTGCTTAAAGGTAAACTGGACTCCCAAAACCTGAATTCCCAAAACCTCCAAAAACTCCAAAACCTGAGCTCTGACCTCGGGATGTCCCGATCCAGCTTTTGGCCTATCAGAGCATGTGTTAAAGTTGAAAGTTATTTACCTACTTCCTTAGTTGTCAGACTCATGTTGAACAGGGATTTACTCTGATAACAACTTAATGGTTAGGACACAGACCTGTGGGTTACAGATGCTAATGCTAATGTGGCTTTTGTGATATTTTTTTATCAGGTTGTCCCCCTTTCTGATCTTTTGCTTAACATATTAGTGATTTATTAAATCTTCAGTTTTTAGTCAATCTCTGATGATTTTCTGGTCTTTTTCTGTACTTGTTTGCAGTTTTGTCTCTTTTGTGCAGCCTCAGCATGGACTTTGTGTCTGGTTGTGTCCCCAGCTTTTTTCCTCTCCGATACCGATCCCGATCCCCGCCTATCAGAGCATGTGTTAGAGTCTAAAGTTATTTATCTACTTCCTTAGCTGTCAGACTCATGTTGAACAGGGATTTACTCTGATAAACACTTAATGGTTAGGACACAGACCTGTGGGTTACAGATGCTAACGCTAATGCTAAAATATTGGATCGGGACCAGCCTGCTTCAGACCCACTGCTTCAAGGTAAACTGGACTCTGTGGGGACTCTGAAAGGTCAGATTTCCGGGGACCAGGCGCCCCAGATGGGTGGTGATATTTAACCCGATCGCCGCGTCAGGTCGGCCTGGCCTTTGAGCTCTTAAGATGATAATGAGCCCAGGCTCAGTTATCCTTCTACCTTCTGCCGTCACCTCTGAACCAACTTTAAGCGTGTTTTCCTTCTCGTGAGATCAAATATGTCTCGCAAAGGTCACTCTTTGCTGAGGAGGGTCATTCAAGCTTAACCGCAAAGGTCCTGTGACCTCAAAAACGCCCAAATTTGAACGTCCATCGTCGCCTTTTGTCCGGCGTTTGATAAAACTAAAGCTAACAATACAGTTTCTACTTACTGTGTGAATAAAAACACAGTTTGCCATTTATTTTGCTGGTTTAAATTCACTTTGCGTCCAAAAAATGCTATTTTCTGTGGATAAAATTCATGTCAAAGCCTTTTTGTGTGGCTAAAGTTTAATCTTTTACTAAAATAGCTCATTTTTTCAATCTTTTTTTTTTGTTGATTCACAGCATAAACACAGTGGTGAAGTCTTGTCTATGGGCCTCTTGAACCTGTCTTAATGTAAATGCCATTTTCTGTGGACAAAATTAGTCTTGTGTGACTAAAGTTTAATCTTTTTTTCTAAAATAGCTCCTTTGTCTCACACCGTACTGTATCTTTTTTTAGTTAATTCAAAGGATAAACACAGTTTGAATCTGTCTTGAATCTGTCTTAATGTGTGGTCGCCCCCTTGTGGCAAAGAGGGGTATTGTTCATAATCGTCTAATCTTTAATTCCAAACGTTAAGAGGGAGGCCGGGCAGCATATGATAAGCCCCTTAACATGATCCAATTTAGTGGATACAACCTGTTATGCATCCTTTACTATAGATAGTGTTTATCTGTTTATAAATCCACTCTAATATGATTACACAAAGCGATGAGATGAGATTATTGCAGAGCCTCTCGGGCTTCCACTCACAAAGAAAGGAGAAGGCTAACTTGATGTTCCCTTTGATTCCCCCCCCCACAGGAGAGAACCCGCAGCCTGCTGAGGGAGTGGTACCTCCAGGATCCGTACCCCAACCCGTCCAGGAAGCGCCACCTGGCCCAGGCCACGGGGCTCACGCCCACTCAGGTCGGGAACTGGTTCAAGAACCGCCGCCAACGGGACCGCGCCGCCTCCGCCAAGAACAGGTCATTACCCAAAACCTACAAATACTCCAAAACCTGAGGTCCGACCAAGGGATGTCCCCATCCAACTTTTGGCCTATCAGAGCATGTGTTAAAGTTTAAAGTTATTTATCTATTTACTTAGTTGTCAGACTCATGTTGAACAGGGATTTACTCTGATAACAACTTAATGGTTAGGACACAGACCTGGGGGTTAGCAGATGCTAATGCTAATGTGGGATTGGACTTTTAAAATCTGCACTTTCTCCTGCCGTCGGATACTAAATTTTTTATAAATATCGGCAGCCGATCGGATCCAGATATCGGATCGGGACCAGCCTGGCTTTAGCCCACATGACAGAATAGAACCAATCAGGTTAGCTGCTTTTGGTCAGCTGGCTAACACCAAATTCCCACGAATTTCTAACCCTGCTGAACAACTTTAAGGGGGGGAAAAAAAAGCATCACAGCCATTTTTGGCATGCGTTGAAGGCCTGAAATGTAAAAATATGGATGTAATATAATGAT